GCTCGAAAGGCCATGCTTTATCCTTGCACATCACTGTTTCCATATTGTATATATTTCATTTCACTGTAAGATCTTTGTGCAAGTATTGTTTCAACGAGTTTTATATTTTATATATCATATTTTGTATTATGTACTATTTATATGTAACTTTTAGTTTGCAATCCATATTTTATTTTTTGTTTTGTTCTTCTAGTATGCCATATTTGAAAATTCATTGTTTTCTTTGATTGAACTTCTCATTCTATTACTACTGTTAATATACATTCAGTTCCAAAAAAAGTGACGCATCACTTGATATTTGACCTATCTTCTTAAAAAATAATAGTAGGCCGATTTTTATTTTTTTTTCATTTGTTGGTAGGTAATGCATTCGTCTTTGAAAAAAAATGAAGAGGTGAAAATTTTTCCAAAGCCTTCTTGATGGTGGTGGAATAACTCGAACCATGATTTATTCTTAATTTTTGACTCACCCTGTGTGGCTCCTTTTGCGAGGATTTTGTTTTTTTATTCATTGATTTATCTCTAATATTTTCCGAATTACAGCTTTTTTGCTGATAGCTTACGCTTATCCCACAAATTGAATTTATTGAAGGATCAGAGTCGAGATGAGAGTACTCAAAAATGATTGGGTTGTACTCTGGTAGGATCACATTGTCTTTGAAAAAACAAATGCCGTTGCCATTGCAACTAATTTGTTGTATGCCTCCATATTTGACCATATTTGACCACAAGGAATCACCCTTTGAATTATTTTGATAATTCATTTTGGTTTGGACCACTAACTGAATAAATCATCCTTTCTCACATACTATGTCTTACTTATGAGCCTAGCTCGACAAAAAATTGATTGGCATTGAAACAATTTTCAAAAGAAAAATCATATTTATTCGAAATATACGTTTACACACGTAGTTAACCAGTACATTTAATATAAATGGATAAAATATTAGAAAACATATAGAAAAATCCATGCCTCAAGGCATTAGAGAACGGTGCATGTCAGATAAAAATTGCCAGAGCATTTTTCACAATGTAAATGGTCCCTGGGAAATAAGGTATTACCGCACGGGTCTTGCCCAGCTTTCCTGTCTATAATGAACACTGTTTCCACTAGATTTGTCCAAAAACATATCTCACATGTACAGGGTATCCCAATTTGGGCACTTTTGCGGGGTATCTCCCTTATCAGTAAAGATAGAGCATTGCGATTTTCGCGACAGTGTGCTACTTTTTTATGAAATTAATAATGGCGCAAGCAGAATTGTGATAGCTCTTCCGGTTGTCGAGATACAGGGTGGAATTGAAAAATATCACTTTTCAGGCACCCTCCGTGTCTCAGTTATCTTTGAACTTATCGAAGAAGTTAAAACTTGCTTTCATAGAGTTTTTCTCGTAGAACCCAGTGGCGTAGATATTTTTTTGCTAGCACCTTTTGTTTTTTAGTTATGAAGCAAACATATGTTTTTTTAAATGGAAAATAATTGTATACAATTATATATTTTTGGAAAGCCCACTTCATGCTCAATGTATATATGAAATAATATACAGGGTGTTCCATTTAAAAAAACATATGTTTGCTCCATAACTAAAAAACAAAAGGTGCTAGCAAAAAAATATCTACGCCACTGGGTTCTACGAGAAAAACTCTATAAAAACAAGTTTTAACTTCTTCGATAAGTTCAAAGATAACTGAGACACGGAGGGTGCCTGAAAAGTGATATTTTTCAACTCCACCCTGTATCTCGACAACCGGAAGAGCTATCACAATTCTAATTGCGCCATTATTAATTTCATAAAAAAGTAGCACACTGTCGCGAAAACCGCAATGCTCTATCTTTACTGATAAGGGAGATACCCCGCAAAAGTGCCCAAATTGGGATACCCTGTACAGGGCTATCCATTATGTTTCTTCACAATCGTCACCGCCCTAGAGCCGTTAGTAATGATGAACTTTTATATACCATATCGATATTGACTATTAGGTATAAAGGGTGATTCAGGTTTTAGAGCACAAACTGAAATGGGAGGTAGATCTCATCATTTTGATCCGAAAAGTTCATATATAAATCAGTTCGATCTCGTTCTGTAGCGGAGCTACAGGGGGCCAAAGTTAAATTATTTTTTTCTATTAATTGAAATATCTCGCTTACTTTTCATGATATCATTCCAAAATTTGGTATGGTCGATACTATTCAGAATATCATCATTTCAAGCTATTTTGAGATTCTCAAAATCTACAGGATGATACGGTTTTGGGGGTAGAGGCTTCTTGATCCCCCCCAAACTTTTTCGTACTACGCCTCTGGCATTTTCTCGTAGAGACTTCTTAATCTTCAATTTTTTTCCAGAAACGAACTGTTTTTAAGATAATTGAGCATATACGTTCTGAAACATGTTAATTTTGCGTATGTTTCGCTTAAATTTCATTTAACTGTAAGAAAACCTCGACTTTCTACCCTCCGTATTGCCGTAACTGATCCAGATTGGACTAGTGATTGCAATTTTAGTAAGTACATTTCATTGTATTCTCAACGAATTTTGTCAAAGAATGAAATTTAAGCGAAACATAGGCAAAATTAACATGTCTTAGAACGTATATGCTCATTTATCTCGAAAACGGTCAGTTTTCTCGAGAAGAATTATGAAGTTAAAAAGCCTCTGAATTGAACGATCCACATAATTTGATCAGTGAAAGATGCCAGAGGCGTACGACGAAAAAGTTTGGGGGGATAAAGAAGCCACTACCCACAAAAACCTAACACCCTGTAGATTTTGAGAATCTTGAAATAGCTTGAAATGATGATCTTCTAGGAAGTATTGACCACACCAAATTTCAAAATGAAATCTCAACAAGTAGGCGAGATATTTCAATTGATAGAACAAAATTATTGAACTTTGGCCCCCTGTAGCTCCGTTTCTGGACAAGATCGGACTAATGTTTATATGAACTTATCCGATTGAAATGATGAGATCTATCTCCCATTACAGTTTGTGCCTCACCCCGTATATTCCAAATTTGAAGACAATAAACTCATAAAGTTCTTCACTGATATATCTATCGGATATCATTCATCAAATAGTTATTTGTTTTACTAGGCAGCAGAGTATTAGAATGACTTTCAATCTACATTTGCTGCTACATTTTGTGTTCTCCCAATGTCAGTGTTAATTTTGATTACTGATTTCATTCGAATTACTTGGGAAGTTGTATAGCAACAAATTTTTCCTGTGTAGACAGAGAAAGTACGCTTTTCCTGTCTGGGAAGTATCAGAGGAAAGCCACTTTCTATGACGCTTGCAAAAAAAAAACGACAACGTTCCAAGTGATTTGAATAAAATTGGTAATCATCATTGACATTGCCTGAACACATAATGATGGAATTTTCAATAAAAAAATTACACGAAATTGGTTTCATAACATGCCTAGTAAAAAAATAACTATTTCTTCAATCATCTTGAATGAATGATACTTCGATGGTTTTCAAAATATAATGACTGACCCTGTACCACTCAAATTCCGCATCATCCCACGTAATGACAGCAATATTTAATATTCAATATTCGCACCAAATGATCATTCCATTCCATTCCCAATTTTTCTTAAAACCTTTTTATTATCAGTTATTATTTAATCGTATCAATCAATAATAATTACATAGTATGACATTGATGTATAGGGCCACAAAAGAGTATTAGATAGGTATATTTAGCTTAAAATTGATATACCTATACGTGATAATACTGTACAGTTCGATATATCAAACAGGAACATCGCACATATTGATAAGAATAAAAAAAAAACAAAATGGGCCTACTGAGTATAGGCCTACTGAAACTATAACACTAAGATGAGTATATAATTCTTGTAAATTACTGGCATCACCTAACACTGATGCTAGTCTATTTCTATAACTAGCACTCTTTCTTTATACAATGTGTCCACAATTTCTGCGAAAAATCAATTTAAGTCTCGGTATAGATTTTTGAACAAAACACGTCAACTCATTATTCAAATTTTATATTTCTTTATACTTTTCTCATAGAATATATAGGTAATAGTCTGGAAAATATGATGTCACCAACGATACTTGTTGTGTGCTAATATATATTACTCGATGATTTCATTTTTTTATGAAATCCTGAATAAGTGTCAGAAATACACAATTTGAAATATTGTATGTTTCAGTTTTTATTGAATTTTCATTCGAATTCTCAATGGTATTACTTCACCTAAGGTGTTAGTTTCAATTGAGGAAGTTGATTCATTTCATTATTTTTTAAAGTATTCGAAAATTGGCAAGTCATGTTCACTGTGAATTTGATGAAAATGAGAAAACTGTAGCAGTGAACCAGATTTTGATACAAAAACAATGAGGTATAGGTAGTTGTAAGAGTGCAGATAGAGGTTAGCTGTATGCTTTCAAAATTACCTTGAAATTTCATACTTCAACTTTCGCTGAGAATTGATTTTCACAAATTGTTGACATTTTGAAATCTAGGCACTATAAGACTCTTCGAAAATTTCCTCTTTCCGAAATTTGATCAAATGAAACAAATCAGTAGATTCAAAACTGGGCACCCTATTCTCCAATCTACAACGATCATGTCACCATAATGACAGCTGTCAGCAGCTGACAATTGTTAGTTATACATTCCACATCCAGAGCAGACTAGTTGGGATGAAAAGTAGATTGAGAAAAATAATCCCCACTCACCTTGAAAGGAGAGTGTTGTTTTACTCTGATCCTCAAACTCCTGAAGTTCCTGGAGCTGTTTTGTAGTGTTGTTCTAAACAAAAGCTCAATATTTTACTAAGGATTCAAGTTTCTACCTACCCAACACATATATTGTATATTCTTTTAACTGTGCCAACACTTTCGATCCCTCTGAGGATTTGAACATTACACCAAAAGGTAATCGTTCCAATTCAGAAAAACATTCTACTGTAGAAACATATTCACACATTGATTACAATTCAGGTTATTTTGTTACATATTGAATGATTAAGTTTTTTTCACCATTATTTGTTCAGGAGTAGCAACTTTTTTTGTTGAATGCCCTTGAGAGTACGAAATAATAAGTAGTTGATTGCCATCTATTCAAATTTTGTCTGAGGAGATGACCATAACCTTCCTCTTTCATGAGCACTAGGAAAGAGAAAGATAGGATACAATTAGGAAACCTCCAAACTTCCTCATACTTGAAGTGTTTGCGTATTTCAGGAAGCATCTCAAAATAGTCAATTCAATTTCAGAAAGTACCATTTGTATTTCAGAATCAGGATTGAATTGAAGCTTTGTGAAACAGAACTGGAAGAGTTGTAGAAATGTTGAGGTTCAGTATGAGATAATGTTCATTTCAGTTACTTTTTGGACAACGAAGATGTAAATTCGACCACGTCACATCTTCAGAATGATTTATACTCCATAAATGCCACGAGTGTGAAAATAATTCGAAGAATCAGTTGTCGTTGTCCAATCATCACCTGAATCCGAATAAAATTCGTGAAATATTTCATGATCGCCCTGTACGCATCCACTGTTGAGTGAATGACTTCTAATAGCTAGAGATCACAGACAATCGTAAAAACGTCACACATTAAGTGTCTCACTGTTCACAACTCTAGCGAAAATCACAACTTCGTGTTGTACACACCATCTATCGGCCCATCGCTACCCTCAGCGGTGAAAGTGGGGTTAATGGAACCTTTTTTGCAAGCTGGGGTGCTGGTGCTGGAAGACCCACTGTCGCAAGTGTTGCAGCAAGCGTTCTTCTCGCATTTCTCGTCGATAACCTTCTCCTTGTGCGAGTAGATCCGTTTCTTGCCAGGGAAGAGGTTGGCCATTTTCCTGGCAATCGGGTGGATCAGCTCTTCGTCGTACCTGTCACTTTCGCTGGAGGTGAAGTAGGAAATGGTCCAGCCGAAGAGGATGGTGATGAAGGTCCCGATGAAAGCGTAGTACATGTAGGTTATCGAGTAGAGTTGTGTCAAAGGATCCCTGGAAACAGAAACAGAATGATCTATAGTTGATGGTTGTTTTGCTGCCGCTGTGAAACTGAGCTCGTTCTCAACTGAATCTGATTCAGGTCAATACTTCCTAAGAGATCATCATTTCAAGCTATTTCAAGATTCTCAAAATCTACAGGGTGTTAGGTTTTTGTGGGTAGAGGCTTATTCTTTAGTCCCCCAAACTTTTTCTGATTCAGATTCTCATGGCGAAGATCTCCCTGCACTCCCGGAGGTGCTTACCTCAATTAGTACAATGACATTGTATACGCACGCGGACAAAATCAACTAGTCGGTTTCTCTGCATCTCGAAGATTGTAAAAATCTGCGTGCTTCACAAAAAATAGCTTTCTCCGACAGTTTTCGAAGAAATGAACTGAACTGTCTGATGTGGAAGTGTCTTGTATAGAGAATGAAAATACCCTGGAGCAAACATGATGTGTTCTACCTGCACTATAAACGACACCAACTCCAGAACCGAATACTTAATGGTACCCGCCCCCTACTGAACGACGATTCAATTGTAGAATGCAGGGATTACCCTCATTGAATTATGTGTTTTTCATATCCCTAGACAACTCACTATGTCGATGCCTAGGATATCCTTGACGGTTGAATTTTTTACCTGCTCAGGCATTAGGCAGACCTGTTCTAGGTGATACAGCTTTCGGCGAACTATAATACATTACATGAGCAAAGTATTTTTTTTGTGGTTCCGGTGACATTGTGTTGTGCTGAATTAGTATTAGTCATTGCTAGGCCCAGAAGCGATCCAACAGCCTAATTCTCGATTCACCCAATTTCCAATTCACCCAATTTTATCAACATTCATTCCACATTCAAATATGTTGTTGGGTCAACATCTCGTTTCACCCAATTTTCGATTCGCCCAAATTTTTATTCGCCCAATTTTCGATTCACCCGATTTCCAATATATTCTAGTCATTTTAACGAGTCAAGTTAGATTATTTAAACCAAGGGGTCTCATATTGATTCTTCCAAGTGATTTTCCGAAAAATATACTTATGTTCTCCCAAGTAATTGAGTATGCGAAAAATGTACATTCTAGGAAGAACGTTCATCTAGGCCGAGTTAGATAGGTTTTAGGTCAGTTTAGGTAGGTTAGATTAGGTAGTTTGGAGAAGGTAGTCTCTTTCTTTATTCAGGAAATTATATTTTCCCACTTTATATTATATCGATCAAAAGTTGGGTCAATCGAAATTTGGGTGAATCGAATTTGGGGCGAATCGAAAATTGGACGAATCTAAGATTGATTCTTCATTCAGATTTGGCAACAACGCATCGTTCCAATTTATTCTGAGATGGTGATCGAATCTAAAATTGGGTGAATCGAAAATTGGGCCGAACCAGGGCCTATTCTATCTCACCGGGCCGGAGCATCGCTTTCGCGACGTCAACGTCACACTAGTAGGGACAAAATCAACGCAGTGGAAATTGTCTCCACCGTTTCATTGATGTACCTTGGGAAAACGGTTACAGTTAGCAAAAAATATCAAGAGGTCAAATATGTACAGAACAGAATTTTCCAGAAGATGAATCAATTTTCACTGATTTACGATCATTAGTTTCAGAAATATCGCATATCAAAAACAATTGACTCCATTCAGAATTATCCTTTTTTAAACATCTACCGAAATTCCAATATTCAATTCACAGAAATGATTCAATCATGAAAAGATTTCTCATAGTATCTGGATTGACTGATTTTTTTTCAAATTCCCAAGGGCCAATAACAAACCGATATTTCAGTTCAAGTAGAACGATGATTCAGGTGTTCATTACAGAATAGTTCAAAAAGTTCGGACGCCTCCCATGCTAATCCTATCAACTGTGGATATATGTTGTCACTGACTTTTTTGTAGAAAATGTAATTGCCTACAAATCGATATAATACAGATCCACTTTATTCCGGAGGGTTTTAGCAGCGTTTATGTCTAAAGATGAAGGACGCACTTTGATGACGTTAGCAATCCTATCACTCGAGTGTGTTATTACACAAAAACGCCTATTCGGTATTAATTATTTTCTGCTGAAGAGTATATATTCCAAGAATAACGTTAAATTCATGAAAAAAATTGATTTGGATATATTTTCAAACTATCAAAATAAGAAAGAACAAAATAGGTGGAGTTCATATGAACACAACCAAACGAAAATAATTGAAAAATTAATTATTGGGTAAGTAGGTATAATGGCACTTTTTTTACGCGCTCTTTATATTTGATTTCTTTCTGACTAATTGTGGGTAACTCTACCATTTTTTCACTATACAATTGATACATTATCCCAGTTGGATATACTGAATTGGTTCAATGTTATTCCGATTCCAAATTCGCAAAAAATAGTATTCTGTAGTACAACGTCCTGATTTTCAATAAAATGGAATTTCTTCACAACGCTAGAACTCGGTATTGATTCATCCTATTGGATTAATTTTTTCACCAAAAGTCGGGGAACTCGTTGGGGATTATTTCGTCTCGATTGAGTGTGCTTCTAAAATTTATAGTAAATGAGCTATGACCTATCAATTACGAACGCACCAGTACGAACTGTTGTGAAATCTCAACCTACTAGTGTGACGTCAGCGTCGAGAGAGAGGGGATAGACTACGGCCCGGTGAGATAGAGTAGGCCCTGGCCGAACGCAACCTACGACCCTTCAAACGAACTGGCATGATAGGTACTTCGAGCAAATTCGTTCAGTAATAAGTTTCAGATCTTCCCAAAAATACTTACGATGGAGCTGCCCTAGTGGTGTTCAGAAGATAATGCGTGTCATTGTAGATGTAGAAAGGCATGGGGGTAGTGGCAGGGGTCCAGACTCCTGCTTTGTGCTCGGACTTCAGGATGTGATCGTTGAAAGAGGTGTTGCTGCAGTTGGCAGTATTGAGGTCCAGAGGAATCGCAGCTGGCTTCTCCACGGTGAGGCCCCCGAAGGTTATCCAGAAGGTCACTGCATGGCCGATGATCATACCGATCGAGGCACCCTGGAAGAAATTATACAAATTCTGAATAAGCACAGTGATCATATGAAGAAAAACTATTACAAGATTATCGAACGGAAGAGGGGGTGAATGGAAAGAGGTCATGTTGAACAGGAATATTCTCAGATATAATATGAACATGGAAAAATGGATATATACTATATATATGCCACGACGAAGATTGAATTATATTAACACACACGTTAAAAATCCGATAATAAAATCTTCTGAAGTTGAGGATTTGCATTCTCCTTCAGATAGAAATGTATGCTCATAATATCATTCTGAACATTCAACAGACGAAAACTACTTGCCTGGCTATTTGCCACGTCCAGCATTGAACTATATCTGTTGAACTTACAGAAGGAGAACATGAAATCGTATAAATAATATGATGTATAATGACATAAAAATCGACACAATACGACATAATCAGTACACTGTAGAACTGGACGAAGAATGTGATACTGCTGCTAATTTTTTCCGATTCACATATTGTTTTCCGATTCCTATATTTTTTTTATAGTATCATTAGTGTGCCTCATGTCCTTCTAGGGCTCGAATTATATGCATTCAGCCAGGATATTTACCATAGAGATATCTGAGATGCTATTCATTTATTCATTTATTTATTTATTTATTACACTGTTCAACAGGTTGCCCCATTTAAGAACAGGAAAAAAAGGACAAAACAAAAACATGCATTGCATATTACATAAGCATAATGGATAGACGAAACAATATGACAAAATGAAAATATCCTGACTAAGTATCTAGTTATTCACTGATGAAGGGGAAAAAAGTTTTGACATGAGTTATTCCACAGCTGAACAGATCTATATTCCTAGCTACCAAGTTATATGTATACTACACATCTTATACAAGGGTGAATTTTTATATATGTTGGTTCGAGGAAACTCTAAGTAGAACGTATCACAATTTCTGGAATATAATCTCGGGATAATGAAGTTCAATTTTTTCAACAATTCTGCACAGTCAATTAGATTGTTAACAACCTTATAAAGGATCAGGAAAGTGAAGTATTGTCTTCTTACGTGCAGGCTTACGAATTGGAAAGTTTCAAGAAGCTCTCCATGAGGTGTACCAATTGGAGGGTATGTACCCCATGACCTGTAACTTAACAGTTTTAAAAACCGTCGTTGCAGACTTTCAAGACGATCAGTATTGTTCCGATAGTATGGGCTCCAAACAACCGATGCATATTCAATCTTCGAACGTATAAAACAGTAGAACAATTTCTCAAGAGTATATCTATCTCTTTAAAATCACGACTGTTGCGTACTATGAACCGGTATGCTCGAAATGCGGATTTCAGGATTGAGTCAATATGATCATTAAACGATATAGATTGATCAAATATAACGCCAAGATCTTTGAATGTTATAGGTCTCAGAAGAGGAATGTCACCAATTGAGTAATTGAAAACGATAGGGTCTGACTTCAATGTGAAGGACATGACATCACATTATTTGACAGGATTCAGTTCTAATCTGTTATTTTGACACCATTCTACCACCCGACCCAGGTTGTCAGCGAGCTGTTGACAATCATCTATGTGATTCACGCACCTATATAATTTCAGGTCGTCCGCATATAGCAAAAAGTTCACGTCAATAACATTACCAATGTCGTTAATGAAAATGTTGAAAAGAATATGTTATCCTGGCTGTCGGAACACAAAGTGCTGCTTTAATGTTGGGATGATATTAACTTATATACCAATTACATAAAACTTGTCTATGTCATATCAGGTATGTGAATTGAACAATACTGTTGTAAATAGAAGTCACGTGTTCTAGATATTATGTTACCATTTCCCATATTTGAGAGTTGAAGAAACATACTTCACCAGATGTTGATGAGCTCCTTATAATTCAGCCTGTATTGAAGATGGAATAGAGAAAGTGAAGTTATTGCAGGAGACCGGAATTTAAGAATTATCCGTCTTTATTGTCGTTTTTTCAGTATAGTTCAGCACAGTTGATCGGATTTCATAAAATGGTTGAAACTACGGATCATAACAACGAAGGCCATGTTTTTTCATGATGGTCATTTGTGAGCAGCATTCCTATCCGTATTGATATTCAGACACATGCCCGTCCAAAAAAAATTTACATGTTTGGGTAGATTAATTTGATTAATTCGACATGAGCATACAATGGAGTTTGTTCCGAGTCTAAATCGAGTATATTTGGAATAATCTCCAACTCGTGACATCGTATTGAAACAGTTATTTGAATGCTGAATACAGCATTTGTCCCCCAACTGATTGATCATCGATGTCGATGCTTTTCAAACAACACAGATGATCATAATCCTTTGATTGGTTTTCCTTTCTCAATATTCTACCGACTTCATTGTCGAAAACATCACTTATTTATGCATTTTCTGTTACTCTGTCGATTCTGAGTCGATGATTTGTGCACTCATTGTTGACTTTTGATGGGTGTTACTGTCTAAACGTTAAGAACATATGACTGTCTGGAAGTTTTCAGATCGTTCTGAATGGAACGTTTTCATAATCTGTGGGACGTTCCCAAGGTGACCTAATCGAAACGTCCCATAGTATCATCAGGCACTAAACAGTTTCAGAAAGTCTTGATTGAAACAGACAGAACGTCCCAAGTGAAACATCTTCAGACCGACCTGAACAAACGTTTTCAACATGTCCAGATATTCAACTAAGTATCGAAAGCATATCTATAAATTATTTAGCAGCATGATTCCATTCACAAAGTACCGATGTCGGATTATTTATGGATAAATCGAGAACCGTGGTGGAGAAAATGTTGGAATACTACGCTGGGGATACATTCCAAATAGGCTGGTTTAATTGTTCTTTTATGAATTCCAAAGTGGAGGATTGGTTGAAATTAACTATCCCGAAACTTGATAAATCCCAGAAAGTCCCTGATCGCGATACTAATCAAAGTCGCCTAATTCCGTAATGTATATTCTGTCCATGTCGTCAGCTTGGGAAAATACGACTGCGGAATAATTTAGAAATGTATAAATAATCTAGAGATTTGCTCTACAATATGACGCGTTTCAGGACGTGACACTATGAAACAAGTTTATACTTGGGAAATTCTAGTGGAAGTTTCTTCGTCCCTCAACTTGATAATTCTTGTGCTCGTACAGGAAGAATCAGTTGAGACAATTCCTCAGGAACATCATCAATAGATGTACATAATCGAAGGAGTTCATGAATATTTGTTTCATTTGTCCTGATCCCATCGATATTCTTTGAGAGAATGTTTTACCACTCAAGATAGTTATTTTTTTTCATGTTCTGGTTCCCACGAGAATGGATACTCTGTAATGTTCAGAGAACATCGTGAGAACCAAGGGAAATTACGTAGGAATTCGTGTTGTTCTTGAATTTCTGGAGGTTACATGCTTCGGGAAACACCTCCCTTGGCAATGTGTTCCAGGGCCTCGCTGTTCGTTGAATGAACGTGTCTTTGGAAAGAGATGTTCTGCAGGTCTCCAAAGTGACCACGAAGGGGTGCGAAGCCTCAACTCGACGGGTTAATCTCGCGGGGACTGCCAAGGTAAGAACAATTGTTGATATTTCAGAAGAGCATCATATAAATGAAGAAGAGCCAGATCACCAACTTTCCTACGGTGTTCCAGAGGAGTGAGTGAGTTTGTGATCGAGACGAATTGTCATTTTTTGGACAGAATCCAACAGTTTCAGGGTATGTTTTGGGGGTGCTGCGCTCCAAATATGGCAACAGTGAACAGTATTCCAGGACAGGTCGGATCTGTGCCTTATAGATCATAAGCAGCTGACTGGAAGTGAGATAGCTCCTGGCCCAAAACAGAAAACCAAATTTTTGGGATGCACTTTTAGCAATTGATCACACGGAAGGTTATTGCTGATAGTGATACCAAGCATCGAAATGAATGTCTTCAAATGTTATTCATTCGACGAATCAATGTGTGTATACATTCAACTGGATTTCACAAATTTAAATGACAAATTAGACAACGTCCACCTACAATGTTGAATTCATTTCGTGTTCTCTGAGGATGAGCACTCACAACCAATAGATCTAAAATCGATCACACACATCATCTTACACATTAAAAAATTGCTGCAGCTGAATATTATTCAGACTTCATTCGCTAGAGATGACTCACTGAATGTCTTTACATTTAGATGGAGATCACCCTATATAAAAAACACGTCTTCGCTATGAGTACAGGAAATGGATATTTACAATTCACTTGGAACTTGGTTGATTCAAATTCAGCGTAATGTAAGACATCTCCTGAAGTAGTAATTAGATTTGTCTTCTTCGGTCGGTTCAGACATCGATTTTCACTTCAATTCATCTACTGTTTGAGCTGGGACTATAAACTAACGATTCCTACGTTCCGAGAGGCAATCAATCTAAATCACAACGTATCAATCAAATTAACATTTTGCCCTTAGACGGATGGCGAATCGTATCGGTACAATACAAATTAATAATTCATTGGTTGCTCACTGTATATGCATCAGTCGATGGGTACATGCACATTTATAACGTTGGTACGCCATGCTCTGCCGCCTAGAAACTTCACTAAATTAAGTCGGTATAATTGGTTCTGAGCTAATGATGATGAATTATTCGCAGGATCATTGTTATTCGTTCCCGTTTTGGCTTCTACTAGCTTTTGATCTCATGTATGAAAATGGAAACAATGGAAGAAATAATTCTTTATTTCTACATCTACATGTTGTACACACCACTACAATTGAGAATAGTTATTAGTCTGTATAGGTAGGCACTTTGGTCTGTACTTGAAGTTGGGTTGAGTGACCTTGTATAATATACATAGAATAACTCTACCGATCAAAAATTTCGAATTATTTCCACTTCTATAGTAACCAATTCATCAGGACGGCACCTGTAGATTCTGTGAGGAAGAACCAGAAACACCCCATCACATACTGATGGAGTGTGACGCTGTACATCACAAAATATTGAACATACTGGGAACACACCAGCTGACTGTGGAAGAAATACCACAGCTAGACCCCCTCAAAATCCTCAAATTCCTGAAGGAATTGAATCTCGAGGGGCTGCTATGAACAGGAAATCCTTGATATAGCAGGAGCAGATGGGGCACAATAGATCTACTTAGGTCGCAGCGCATCTGTCACCATCCAACCTACCAATACCAATACCAACTAATTCATATTGTTACATACAATCAAAGCGCGTCGTAAAATGTTGACATTCAGGACTACTAAAAAAATGATCTTTTTGGATACAATTCGAACTTCAAAATATCATGCTCATTTATCTCAATCTTCCTGCACAATTACATTTCGGGACACTTTAATAGAACGATCATTCTGCTTCGCGGTTGAATTTTTTGAACTTTCAAACCGAAACTCTTTGTAATTATTGTTATCATTAGTACATCTCTATGTCCCAACTACCAACAGCGATTGACTTAACACGATACAAAAAAAAAAGAGTTGATTCGAAGTGATCGGAGTACGATAGAGCACTAGAGTCTCTAGTGCCTCTATCGCATTATTAGTTATTCAACCAACTAGTGTATTAATCGCCTTTCAATATACAAGTTGGTTAAAAAAAATTACAAATCCGGAAACTGCTGAGAATCATCCAGTAGCCTTGTTACTGACACTATTGACATTTGACATTTGTCGAAATGATCAAAATAGAAAATAAATTCTTTGTGTTAAAAAACAGGGATTAAAATCGTGTCGGGAAACTTGGAAAGGCGAACCCGTTAACGGAAAATCTTCGATGAAATCCATATTTTCGATTTGAATGCAGAAGTTATAGCATAAACAATGAATGCACGCGGTGTTTGTTCGGTTGCCTATAAAACAATTGAGCATTAATAGACAAATCGTTCATTAATAGGGGTCATTAATGAACGATTTCATATACATTAAACTTAGTCGTTAATACGAGGTCGACGGAAAAAATGTATTTGCTAATGATTTTTCCAAAACTGATCTAATCATCATCATATTTCCATGTGTGAAGTTTCAAAACATCTAATACGATGGTCCTTTTCAGGAACATATCATATACGTGATACTCCTAATAGTCCTAATAATTTAACATTGAAATTTCGACGTTTTCAATCAATGATTTTACTTTTATCCCAACATCTTGATGAAATATCATTTTTTCAATCTCGAAACGTGAAATTTACTGTATCATCGGACTGATAGTCACTCCCACGCACTTGCTGTCGAGCTGTCGTTGTCACTTATGTTGACACTCTGGTCCAAGCTTTGAGGTGCCAATTGAACTTGATTTCATTCACAATTTTTTATCCTGGAAATGTGTGTTTATCTACTCGAAATGTATCGTAAGGCTTTTTTAGAAAATAAAAGAACATCTTTGAAATTCGTCTAGATATTATTGGGTTGCAAAGAAGTATACAATCATTTATGCAAATCTATGGTAGAAGTCCATATTTTCCGAAAGTGGAGTGAAAAAGTTTTATATAAATGAAACACACTCTGATTCATTTCATTACTACACATCGGGAACATCCTAACATGTTCCGAACTACCAATAATCCATCATCAGCAGCATTATTAGATGAATTTATAGAAAAAAAAAGTCTATTTAATTGACCAAAGTTATATTCTCACGTGGAGGTGAAAAAAATAGAGAGTTATAAAATACCATAAGAATCAATTTTTGTGCCCACAGCCCAAAGGGAGCTTTATGGAGGGTACAGCCACCTGGTCATCCAGGAGGATTTCGGAAAAATGGGGCCCATGATAATTTACAGTATCAATAAGGCACCAAGATTTCCCGTTCGTTAGTTGATACTGAAGATGAAATTCCTCCAATTCATAGATCCGCGGAGTCTACAGAACTATTTTCATCTAGGGTCATCAGTCGGAAAGGTGGAAGCTCCCAGTTTGAACTGGAAATGTAATTTTCCTTAATGAACTTGGAAATTCCGACTAAAAAATCTCTGAATTTTTTGTTTTTGAAGTAGTCAGTTCCTAGTTTGGAGTCGGAAAAACAAATAGTTATCATGAAACGTTTTTTCATGAAACTTTCCTAACTCCACTTCACCAACTCGCCTAAGATTGGGCCCATCCCTGCCCGTTTTTCCTTAGTAAATGACACATCAAGTGAATTTTCTTTCTGTTTATAAAATATGTGGATAGTTTCGAAAACACAAGAAATGTTAAAAGAGCATGTGGATGAAATACTAAGATCAATATCCTATAATGGACGAATTTTTCACTTAGTCCCGTTGTGCTGACAGTAGGTATCGCATGATATCTCAGTTATCTTTGGAGATAGAACCTTGCGGTTTTCGCGGTCCTGTGCCACTTTTTTGTGAAACTCAAGATGGCATAATCAGATTTAGCAGGACTGTTTCCGTTTATGAGATACAGGGCGATTTTGAAAATTTATACTTTTTGGACCCCCTCTATATCTACGAAGTTTATCAGCGAAAATGTCAAATTAAAATCTTCACCTATAGAGAATTTCATTCAGAATCCAGTGGCGCACAAAATTTGTTTTTCGGGGTGTGGTTTTGAAGATACGACTCAAACCTATGATTTTTTAAATTGATCACCCTGTATTTTATGAGCTCATTAAATTCCTTATTTTTATCCCTTCGAAATGATATATGATGTATGAATATAACATTTTCAAAAATATTCAAAAATCACTAAAACATTGAATTTTAATAGTGGGCTATGGGTTTTTCAAGGGATTTTCATATAAAGAAATTTACAATTGAAAGAATATTTTCTTTGATTGTTCCATGAAGGAGGAAATAACAATTTCAACACTAATTAACTTGCAATACACAAGACTTAGATACCTGATATCCACAAATATATAGTAATAAAAAGTTTATAATGTAGAATAAGCACCTCATTGAATATTTACTAAAACTATTGAATTTCGAAATTTTTTAGTGATTTATTCATTGAATTGTTCAAATTGATGTCCATTTTCCATCACAAACTTTCTCAATACATATTAATCATTTAAAGATGTCTTTGTAATTCCTGGAAAACTGCCTCTGTTGTTGCACAAAGTTCTTCAAGTATGTTGGGCCACTCACTGTATTAAGAAGTATTAAGAAAGTTTGTCAATTGTATGTTAGGGAAAATGGATATCAATTTGAAAATGTCAATGAATAAGTTACTGAATAATTCCGGAATTCAATTATTTTAGTAAATATTCAATCGGGTGCTTATTCTACATTATGAACTTTTTATTACTATTCATTTGTTGCTATCAGGTACCCAAGTTTGGTGTTTTGTTGATTAATAAGTGTTGATATTGGTTTTGACCTCTCCATGGAAAAATTTGAAGAAATATTTCTCCGATTGGAACGTTTTTTATAAAAAAAATCCATAACCAACTATCAAAATTCAATATTTTAGTGATTTTGAGCAATTTTGAAAATTTTATATTCATTCTTCATATATCATTTTGAAGACAAAAAAATAAGGAATTCAATGAGCTTATGAAATACAGGGTGTTTCTTTAAAAAATCATAACTTTGAGTCATATCTACAAAACCATACAACGAAAAAAAAAAAAATTGAGTGCGCCACTGGATTATGCGTGAAATTCTCTATGCGATAAGATTTTGATTTGACATTTTTGTTAAGAAATTTCGTGGATATAGAGGGGGTCCAAAAAGTATAAATTTTCAAAATCGCCCTGTATCTCATGAACGGAAACAGTCTTGCAAAATCTGATTAGGCCATCTTCAGTTTCACAAAAAAGTGGCACAGGACCGCAAAAACCGCAAGGTTCTATCTCCAAAGATAACAGAGATATCCGGCAAAAGCATCGAAAACTGGACACACTGTACAGTACCCACCTTCCAATTAGCGCACGGTATCAGCATGGCCATGATGAACACCCCCAATAGCGGCCCTGAAGTGGCAGAAGTGACCAACATGGAGGACTCGATGACTCCGTTGATCATTCCTACCCCGAAACTGATGCCCATGATGACCAGTCCGTAGAAGCAGCCAATGAGCTTGATGGCTAGCAACTGGTTGGAGTCTCGCATGTCTCTCAGTATGGGGATAGGCTTGATGAAGTCCTCGAATGTGACTGTTGCCAGGGAGTTAAGATTCGATACGTTCAGACTGGAAACAAAAAAGAGCTTTATATAGATAGATAAGCTTCATTGCCTGAAATGAACACATTTTGTCGACATAGTCAATATCTTGTGAATCATTGATTGCAAGATATAAATAAATAAAATAGAATAGAAGAGGAATATATAAAAATATCATAAAACACAAATATACCGGGTTGCTGCGGAAGTATTGCCTACGGAATATCTCAGTTATTGTATGAAGTAGGTTTGTGAAATTTGGAGCGTCGTTATAATGACATAAGAGCTAGAATTTGAGCATATTGACATGTCGAAGTTAACTTCCGGTCTGACCGGAAGTAACATCAACTTTCTGATTTTAAATAGAAACCCTTTTTTGTTTTCTTTCCGCTTTATTCAGCATTCAATTCCCTTTCTAATGACATATCACAAGTTGGTATCTAACCAGAAACTAGATCAGAAAAAAATTATTATTGAAATTCACCGAGTAGGCCGTGGAAGCAAAATGAAAGCCTAAAATTTGAAAAGTTGGCTATGGAAACCATACGTCACTTGATAACAGTTGCTACTACTGTGATATTTTATTTTTATTCGTCGGCGTTATAAAAAGCCGCCAAGAAAAATATCGGAAAAATTGGGAAAAAAACAATACTCCGTAGGTCCATAACTTGAATAGGAACATACAACTTTTTCTTGCCTGTACTATTCAGCATAACCATTCCTTTGTAATGATATAATAGAAAGTCATTTTTTGGCTTTCATTTTGCTTCCACGGCCTACTCGGTGAATTTCAATAATAATTTTTTTCTGATCTAGTTTCTGGTTAGATACCAACTTGTGATATGTCATGAGAAAGGGAATTGAATGCTGAATAAAGCGAAAAGAAAAAAGAATAGGATTTCCATTCAAAATATGAAAGTTGATGTTACTTCCGGTCAGCCCGGAAGTTAACTTGGACATGTCAATATGCTCAAACTCTAGCTCTTATGTCATTATATCGACGCTCCAAATTTCACAAACCTACTTCATACAATAACTGAGATATTCCGTAGGCAATACTTCCGTAGCCACCTGATGGTATATAAAATAACATAGAACAAGTATCTTCATTATCACAAAGAACATGTCTCTTAAACAACCTATGTTCATTCACTTGCCAAAATTCAGCTGATCAATATTATTTGGAATCGAATAAGAAAAACAAAACAAGAACATCGAAATAACAACCTTATGATTTATGGTTATTTCGTTCTTTTCCATGATAAGAAAAATAACAATCTAAATACAGATGATATTGCGTTTTCAATCCATTATTATTTCTTACTACACACGTGAAGAAGACATGATCAAAACTCAAATAGATCCAGAATCGACATCTAATGAAAATTTCATTCCATATTCCAGATGATGAGCATAAAGCAACATCATTCGGAAAATTTAATTTCGAATCTGAACGTTTGGATGTAAATAGTATGTTTGGAGTATTTTCTATGGACTATTCAACTAGTAGAACGCCTTAAAGACTTTTTCCTGATTCTTGATTTATATTGAAAACAAACTGAAATACTTCCAGAATTTCCGAATAATTGTCTGATGTAACGGCGGAAAAGCGCAGTGGTTGAGGCTCTTGTCTAGTTATCCAAACAACGCAAGGTTGCTAGGTTCGAATCCCGGGCAAAGAGGAGAATTTTCATTCATAAAACGACTTCCTAATTATAATTGTTGTGGTCTTCGCCGGAGATGACTCATCACGATTCGTTGTTGCGTTCCAATTAACAGTGTTGCTCCTAAGGTGGCGTATGGAGTTAGTAACAAAGCCGACACAAAACACACATGGGCTCAAGAACCTCTCATGAGATCGGTGGCCACTTGGTATATACATACATACCAACGAAGTATATATTCTTAGGACTAGTAGCTAATGTTTACGATATCTCACCTGAGAGCTCCGTTGAAAAGACTGGCCATGAACAATCCCAGGATTCCTGGTAGGTAGCTGAAGCGATCTTCGACAAAGAAAGGCAAGATCTCGTCATATTTGTCTATGTATCCTGAAGACAGGGGATCACAATCAGCATATACTGCGTAAACGACCATTCCCACTACCCAAGACAAGCTGAACAGGACTGTGATGACTGGAATATTGAACATGAGGGTCCTGCAAAAGAAATAAGTATGGATCAGAAACAGTTGTGGAAACTCAAATTATAAAGTAGACATGCGAATCAGTGGTTGTGCTCCTGAAAATGAATGAAGGTTTTAATTTTCTCCCATTATCAAATGTGCTGGCACTGATCTTTTCAACTTGGAACTTCTATCATACAGGGTGAGTCATGAGGAACTGTACATACTCCAACCACGAATAGAGGCCCTTAAAACATCTTTTGGTCATAACTTTCCAAAAACTCCTTCGATTCGTCTGATTTTTTCATGGAATATTTCTCTACTGAATCCTGATCGACTGACATTTTCAGAATCGGTGAAATCCAGGGCCGTTTTTGAAAAATTTTGATAGTTTATTCAAAAAAAAAATGTTCTTCCTGTATGTGGTTTTTGTGAACTGTGACAGGAAATTTCCAAAGCACACAAACAAGCATCAACAATAAAATATTCGAAATGCTCCTCGCACTTTCAGGGAAGTTTTCAAAAAACGATAAATTATCACCAAAAACGAAAGTCGGGCGCAACATTCGTCTATTCGAAAATTCACAACGCATAAATTTCACAAATGAGAGTAAGCCAAACATTTTCAATGCTTTAGCTCAATGGAAATTATCATGTTATTCTATTTCCAGACTTGGATTTCGTAATTTCATTTTTGATGGAGATAATCACCCTGTAGATCTTTTTCGAATCAGAGAATGGAGTATCTGTTCGGATGGTGATGGTTATTGATTCAAATAATTCAAGATAGTTGAACAGAAAATGTAGGTCAATTCACAATTATTTTTCAAAAGCTATACTGACAAAGGAGGATAAATCTAATACGGAAAATAGGTGAGCAGATTAACCTCGAGATTAACTGAATAAAACAAATTGAATAGATGAAACTGTCATTTAAAACCATCAAATTATTTATTCATTCATAGCTATATGGCCGTTAACATCTTCACAGATAACCCGTCCACTGATTCTAAAAAGATCTACAGGGTGATTATTATCCGTCACAAAAACATCAAATTACTAAATCCAGGCCTGAAAATAAAATAATATGTCGATTCTCATTGAGCTGAAGCATTGGAAATGTATATAAGTCTCACGTTCATTCTGAATATTCAAGAGTTGCGAAGTATTAATTAAATACATGTTTTGCTTCCGTTTCTTTCTAAAATTTATTGTTCTTTTCAAATGCAGTGAAAGTCTGGGAGAACTTTTGAATATTTCATTCTTGATGTTTATGACCTTTGAACATATCCTGTCACAGTTCACAAAAACGATATACAGGATGAACTTCTTGCTATAAATTGAACTATCGACATTTTTCAAGAACGGTCCTGGATTTTACTGATTCTGAATGAGTCAGACGATATGAGAGTAGCAGCCGACTATTTCATGAAAAAATCAGACGAATCCAAGAAACTGTTGGATAGTTATGACTAAAAGATGTTGTTGCCAAATGTCATAATTTACCCTATATATTGGTAAAGAAGAGAGAAATACGCTTTCTGATGGCTATCAAGTATCCCCCTCAGGGTCCTCTATTCGTGGTTGGAGTATGTACAGTTCCTCATGACTCACCCTGTATTATCTGAGGGTTTGTCAAATGTTGAAATGATTATATTATTTTCAGGAATGAAACTGCCAACATGGTCACCCTGTTCTAATACATCTATCTCGATGAGATCAGAGAATGCTGTACAGGGTGGGCCACCAGTAACGCCTCGGTCGCCTTGGAACATATACCGGGTGATCAAGATTCTGAATTCTGCACCAACCTGTATTTGTTTCAATTAAATGTCAGTAGATAGTTGATCAAAAGTTGAGATAGGGACATGTGAGCCGTTTTGACCAATTATGAATGGTTTAGACACAAAAAATTCTTGAACTTGGAAAATCTCGATTTCTCACACCCTATATCTCAGTAATTATAACTGCTAGACCCCAAGTATGATGGATTGTTGAAATCAGCTCACCAGGGAGAATCTCAAAATGAAATAATATATAGGGTGTTCGATTGAAAAAAGTTCAACTTCAGTGTTTTGTGATTTTTGGGGACATCCCTTATGTTTCAAAATAATTTCAAATGGTAGCCTATGTTGACATGCAACTTCCTAGAGAGGAAGAATTCCAAGAAGATAAGTGGTTAGCCTTCTAGAGACCGAGGCGTTACTGGTGGCCCACCCTGTATAGGTGAGAACTTACTTCGTCACTTGCTTCTGGGAGTCCATACTGCAATACCGCTGGACGAAGTTTTGTTGGCATCCAAAAATGGAGAGGGACATGAAAAGTTGTCCGATGATGGCTGAAGTTGTTGTCACTCTCTTGGTAAGATCAAAACTGAAACTGCAAGGAGAAACAATAAATATTACAATGAATAACAAGAGGTTTATAGAATTTATGATGCTGAACAAGTGTTACAAAAACCGGAGAAAATGTCATTTCGTTTGAATTTGCATTAGTAAATGGAATGTCTTGATATAATCAGCAGCGCTTAATTGATTTATATTCATGTTGGATCGATCTGATTTTGCTGTATACCCAACAAGCATAATATCAAATTCCAAAACTGATGATAGTTTTTGGTGAAGGCATAGATCTTGGGATGCCCACAACAGCTTCAATAGTTTTCTACACATCTCGCAAGAATTTGTGATAAAATTCCAACACGTAATCTCTGCTGAGACTAAAAAGTAACCTCGATTGGCGATTTAATACAAAAATGAGCTGTTGACCCTTCATGCACTCTCGAGTCTTGTTTTTATTGACAATGCCATGTAGTTTTTAGAGTTAGTCAGATAACAGGACAGTTCGACATGGTTATTGAAATAGGTATCAGCTTAAAAACAGTACGACATGAAAGGAATGATATGGCGATCTTTCAACCTCCAACAAGTTGATATGTTTTTGCAACTATAGAATATTCCAAAATATAGCTTTGAAAAAAGTTTTAAAATAAGTATAACGGACAGAGAGGCATGGAAGGAAGGACCTCCTATCAATGCAGACATTGCTGTCTATACGGACGGCTCCAAAACTGAGGAAGGATCAGGAGCTGGTATTTATGGGGCCAAGCCAAAGACAAGAATCTCACTGAGCTTAGGCAAATACGCGACGGTGTTTCAGGCAGAAATTATTGCAATACATCATTGCGTGAAAGAATTGATAAGGCAAGAGTTTAAAGGCAAAACCATTGCAATCTATTCAGATAGCCAGGCGGCAATCAAAGCAGTCAACTCTATGCAAGTTAACTCAAAACTAGTATGGGACTGCTTAGAAACCCTGAATGCACTGGGCAGTCAGAACAGATTGACTCTAGCATGGGTACCAGCACATACAAGGTACGAGGGCAATGAAGAGGCAGACTCACTTGCCCGAGCAGGAGCAAACAAAGCTCTGCTTAATGGCCCAGAACCCTTCTGTGGTATTGCGAAAGCTATACAAAAGACTAGTATCAAATCATGGATGCAAACTAAATCTCAAGAATGGTGGAACAACTCGCCAGGAATGAGACAGGCAAAAGAGTTTATTAAAAAACCATCGCCAACATTCACAGAATATCTACTAAGCCAGAAACGAAGTTCAACTAGAATACTAGTGGGACTTCTCACAGTGCATTGTAGGCTCAACAAACACATGAGTACGATAGGTCTGACTGAAGAACTGCTGTGCAGGTTCTGTCAAGAAGAGGAAGAAACAGCAGTACACATACTTTGCCACTGTGAGGGCTTGTCAAGACTAAGGTTCCTTACGCTGGGTGAGGAAAAACCAGGAGCCCAGAGATACACAGGAGATCTGAAAGCTAGCCTATGGAGTCCCATAGAGAAGGCGGTGCTAGCCGAAGAACTCTAATTCATTTTGAGGGCAGGCACAATAGATCTGAAAAGGTCGCAGTGTGGAGGCAGATAGCCCGAAGGCCCCATTCCAATCTAATCTAATCTAACTATAGAATAATCGATTCTTTATTGTACCAAAATCGGATTTCCAATACTTTGTCAACTGACATAGTGAGTATTGGCATTATTATTGATGTTGTGACATATTAGATATTGACACCACTGTTGATAATGTTAATTATGTTTGTTGTGAATATAGTTAACCATTTGGAGATGTAATACCTCATTTGCTACTCCAAATTTCAGGTGAAGTATTCGTATTGCAATGTCAAGTGAAAATCATAAGATCAGTAAGGTTGCTGCATTCAGAGTTTAATCAAAAATATACCTTGACGGGAATTATGGTGCAAAAGGCTACCATGATAAGACCATGCCTATTATGGTATGGATACCATCATAACACTTCTCAGCATATAAAGGGGCGGGTATTTTCTGTAGTTGTTCCAGAAGATACGCTTTTATTAACTTCACAGAAAGGTTTGGCCCGTGAACTAATGAAAAGCGTGTATTTTGACGAAAGTTATGGTGCAGAAGGCTACCATAATAAGTCTATGCCTATTATGGTATGGATAACATGATAACATTGCTCAGGATATAATGAGACGGTTACTTTATGTAGTTGTTTCAGAAGAGACGCTTTTATTAACTTCACAGGAAGGTTTGGTTCGCGTGAACTAATGAAAACCGTGAATTTTTCATCTTGTTCCCCTTGAATTTTATGGATGACGTATGTTAAAAGGGCGAAGCCAGCCACACGGTAAGTAATTATGCATGTTAATTTCAAGTTATATGTGAACTTTGCTTCAGCCTTGCACTTGTAAGTTGCGGAAATTTTAGGGAAGCGTATACAAAAGAAATTAATCCTTGCATGGGTACGGTCGTGTTCATACAAAATTAACGATCATTTCCATTTTCATATATATAGAAGGTCATGGAACAGTTGAATACAGTGAAATTTCACTGTAATTTGAAGCGTAAAACATGAATATTTGAATTGATGCTTCTCATGAATCTCACAATGACTTTATATCAAACATCTATGGTGGTGTACAAGATGATCATTCACTAATAATATTTTATAAATATTCTGACAACGTTCAAATAAGCTTATTTTAGAATGTTCTCAGAATGGTCATAGAGAATATACTCATCCTGCAGCAAATATTCTATGAACATCCAATTCGACATGTTCTTTGGATTTTGAATGTTCTGAGAATATTCAGAATAGTATCATAATGAATGATATATTGATGTACCTATTCTTGTATCAATATTCATAATGTTTACCCTGACATAACCTATTATTCTATAGCCTCAATGTTTCTTATCCCACTAATTCTGTGCTGTCATCTTACTATTCATTTATTCATCAATAAGGTTCGTGGCGAAGTAGTTGAGGTTTTAGGTTCGTAAAAATTCAATCACAAGATATAGTAGGTTCGCATCTCCTCCAGAGCAAACTTTTTTTAATTTTCTTCTTTCTTCAATATACAAGGTATATCGTCAGAATAATCACAACAGTCCATTCCGAATTTTCATAATACATTCCTAGAATATTTGTATCATACTGTGAGGGTATTCTGGGAATATTCGGATATTCCTCGAAGCATATCTTATGAACGAAAAGTACAATTGCTGAGTTGTGATTGTCGATTGAAATTAAATGTCTATATAGAAACATAGATCGATCATTATTGACTATCCTCCAGTACGTGTTTCCATATAGGGGAAAATTCGTTCCATAATAAAAAGTAGGTACGTATTTTCATTGATCAAAATCTGATTTGAGATGAAAATTCATGTTGGAATGAACAATATCAATAAATCGGTAGCAGATATTGAATTCGCTCATTCAATACAAAAGACGTATCTGACGTGAATTCAAAGAGTGAGCACAACGTCATATATGATGTCAGTTTTTCGAGAGAAATAACTGATGAAAATTGTTTGAGTAAGCAAGGAAATTTATCCAATTGAAGTAAAGTTCGAGTGTTTTCTGGCAAGATGAATCAACGATAATATACTAATAAACAACAATAAAGATAACCTTCATTGATGATTCCTGGTATTTTGCGGAATCGATTTGGTAAAACTGCACTGAATTTTTTTTTGGTACTCACGTATTTTTGTCTGAAAAACATAAATGAGATAATGGAAATGTGAACAAACCACTATTTATCGAGATATTTCGAGAAAAAGTTCGAAACTCGCCTTATTTCTCTCCTGTGTTGGATGCATTTACAGCTACTGGCTCTTCTTATTTTGTCATTAAACACTTCATATACTCATGATGTACAACTTCAATGACACATTTTTATATAGAGATATCATTTTTATGGAGAGTTTTTCATATTTAGTGAACATCAATCATACCAGATGACGGTCATTTAATCAATAGTACAATCCAAATAAGAGATGTCAAATGTCAACAGATTGCTCTTGAACGACATCACATACGCCATTATTTGGAATAATATTCCTCCTTCTTCTCACTAAATATGGATGAATCACAAGAAAATAATATTTTTCTTCAGAAGTCAAAAAATGACAAGGTTCGCGCATTGATAACAAATTGCGAAGTGACACTTTTTTTCAGTTTCCTACGATACCATGATACCTTGCACAAAACAATGCACGAAGTAAAACAGTGCGCGAAGTACCTACTTCGCGCATTGTTATGTAAAATATGAGATATTTATATTTCAACTTTATGGTTCTCAATCGAGCAAACATCCACGAAATCATTTATTTCTGGATGTTCAACAATAACTTTCTTTTATCTCTTGGAGCGCACGAAAGGAAATTCCTATTATGTTCGTGGAACATCGTTCGTACCTAGGGAGTATAGGGGGAGGCCTTTTAAGCCAGTTCAACACTATTTTTTAAATCAAGCTAAGCATATTTTTACTTTAGAACCATATTTTTTGACGTTTGTAGAAAAAATGTTGTTTGCAACTCGAGCGCGAAATACTTTGGTCATCTCGACTATTTTTTTAACTCGGCTACGCCTCGTTAAAAAAATCAGATCTCGATCACCAAAGTAGCATTTCGCGCTCTAGATACAAAAATAACTATTCTAGTCGACTCATATAACAGAAAAAATGTGTCATTGAAGTACATTGTGATATATAAATTGTCCAATGATGGAAAAAAAAGTGCAAAGGCGAAGAAGAAGGTGAAATTTGTAACTTTATAGTAAAATATCTCAATGAATAATGGTTTGTTCACATTTTCATTATCAAATTCGTATTAATGAGACAAAAATACGTAAGCGCCAAAACAAATTTTTTGAAAAATACCCATCGGATGATAAGTGCAGTTTAACCATTGATTTTCTTATATCTTCGTGATTTTTTCAGATGAAATTCTCCTGAAACGGCTCATCTTGCTAATTAACGCGTGAACCATACCCATCGATCAAACCGACACGACAAAAATTGGAGTGACATC